AACAGAAGGCCCTGCTCAACGTCATTGAGCGGCTGGAGTTGGACATGACGTCATCATGAGAGCGGAAAGAGGCGTTGAGTGAAACGATGAGATCGCTGGCCGAGACGAGCAGGTTCGAGGAAAGGCTAGAACAGTCGAGGACGCTCGGGCGAACACCTGGCAGGCTCAGCGACGCTCAGCCGAGCGATCGCTGTGGGTAGCCGGAGAAAGTTCAGCAGAGCGTGGAGGTCCATGGGGCCGAGGGAGTTGCTCAGATCCTGGCCATCTTGGCGGCAGAACTCTGCTCTTTGAGACTGTGCGGGGCGAGCCAAGCCATCGCGGAACTCCGAGGAGAGAATGAGGAGCCGAAGCCCGACAACAACGTCGAAGTGATAGCGGAATGCGAGCGGTCCAGAGCGAGCCAGGCTCGGGCGGCAGGAGACGAGGCGTCGAGTCGCGAGGATCCGTGGGTCGCTCTCCCGCGCAGCTCGATCCCCAAAATCATCGGCCCGAGAGAAGCTTCCGAGAGCGTGGCTGGCCTGACGGCGCGAGTCCGAGACGGACTCAGAAATGTCGAAGGAGAACTGGGCGATCTCGCGAGGCTCGGGCTGAAGAGAGCCGAAGCGAACTGAGCATCCGAGAGAGCTGATGCTAGGAGGCTGCTGAGACGAAGATGAACGGCGGTATAGAGCCAGGGCGAATCGGCATCGGTCCAAGCCGACTGGGGAGTTTCGGAGGCCCGAGAGGTCCGATTGGAGCGAACCCGTCAATAATGCGAAAACCGAGCCTGGCGGAGCGGGGATGCCCCGTGGCGGCAGGCCGAGGCCTAGAGCTCGATCGAGGATGTCCGCAGGGAAGGTGGTGGACATAATCATCCGAGGAACCGGGATAGAAGAAGGCTCGCAATGGCGACGGCGGGTTTGGAGCGGGCGTCTCGGGTCGGGCGCGGGGCGAAGCTGCCGCAGAGGACCCGGAGATTCAACGCGCGCTCGCGCGAAGCTCGAATCGGAGATGAGATGGCCGAGAACAGCCATGTCGCAGAAGTGCTGGGCAAAGAAGGTTGCAGAAGCGAAGTGAGCAGAGTCTCGGAGTCGCCGGGACTTCGAGAACGCGGAGGAGGAGGAGGCCGTGCGAGGGTCGGTCCAGAGCTCACCCAGAACCATCGAGAGGCCGTGGCACGCCTGACTTCGGAGGAGCTGGCCACAGAGGCCGACGATGCCGAGGCAGGAGATCAGGCCGAGGGGCTCGCCGAAAGCTGAAGGGGATGATGAAGGATTGCCCGCCCTAGATTGAGCGGCTCCAGGGTTGGCTTATGCGCGGGAGCAGCTGGGTTCGCGTTCTATAGGAGCGTGCGTTCGTTGGCAAGAAACGCAGGCGCGTGCTTGAATTCCGTCGCAAGGTGAACGTCATTGCGCCTCGATGTCTAACGGCGCGAGGGGTCGCTTCACGTTGCGATGTGGTAGTCGCGTTTCAACTGAAGTCCGTAGATTGCGAAGCCCTTCGGACCGCGCGCGATCATCAGCAAGGGCACGCCGTGCTGGCTCTTCTCGAACACGATTTCAGACGCGCGCGTGGGTTTCTCGTGCTCCCCCAAGGGTCTGTGGGGGGCCCTATAGTTGCAGGCCCACTGCTTACCCCAACTCCGGGGGCGATGCGGTATGTGGACTGCGGAGTGCCCCGGGATTTGAAAGAAGAGGAGTTTCCGGAGGGCGATCCGTCGACGCCTGCGGGCTCGGGAGATGCGCCACCGGCAATGCCGGTTTCGAATTCTTCGGTGCCCGACTGGGGCGAAGTCTCAAGAGTGGAATCATGCGGCATTGAGATTCGTCGCGTCCGCGCCGTGGTCGCTGGCTTCGGCGAGGAGTCGCCGTCCGCGGGGGCCAACGGAGTCGGCGAGCGGGAGGCGAGCTGCTCGGCGCGTGGAGAGTCGCGGGAAGACCCGAAGTGCAAGTGCCGAGTGTTCATCTGCGGCTTGACGAACCACGTAGTGATCTATGGGTGCCGGGAGGAGCACCGCAGGCGCGTCGCGGGGCGATCGTGCCCGCGCGGGTTACCTCTGGTGGCTAGGGCGCTGATTATGGTCAGCGCCGCATGCCGGGGGCCCAGCGAGCAGAACTTAGATGGGCGAGATGGAGACGACGTCGACGGACTCGACATGATCCACGAGAGACTGAGGATGCCCCGCGGGAGTGCTCACTCAGAATGGAGCGGACAGGCCCGAGCTCGGAAGAGCGTGAGTGCGTTTGGATTCGTCCATTTGCTGCGTGAAGAACGCTTGGCGGAAACGAAGTCCTGCAGGGGTTAAAGGTCATTGACCCCGAAGCCTACGCGACGGCGGGCGAGGCGGACGAGTCGGGCGCGGATCTGCGGTGCGGGTCTGGCACAGCTTTGGGGCGCGTCAAACGTTCTTCCGCTGGTGCTCAGGGCGCTCAGGCTCCTGGCCGAAGCGGGCTGACAGCAGAGAGGGAAGAGCTGGTGTGCTCGGCAGTGCAGCGGAGACGCTTTGAAGAGCGTCCAAGTTCGCCAGCTCGAGCGCGGGCGGATGCAAGGGGCTTGCCTTGGAGTCGATGCGGGTCCCGTTGGTTTCTGCTGCTCCTGCGGATCAGCGGATTGTTGGATCGGGGCCAGTCGGCGCCGGCATCTTCGACGCGCCGAGCTGACGATGGTCCTTGTTGGCTGCGAGGGTCAGCATTTGAGCGGCCCCGAGGCGAGGGGGGGCTCGGGCGACCAAGATTGTAGATCTTCGAGCAGCCTTAGCCCCGGGTGGGCAGGGCTCAGCCGGGAGATCGTCCATGCAGGATTCGAAGCCTGGGCGCGAGACCTCCGGCGTCAGGTGGAACTCATGACCGGGGGTGTTCCAGAGCTAAATGCCGCCCTGGTAGCTGAATGCCAAGTCCGAGGACGCGTCGAGGAGCCGGCCGCTGGCCGGATGCCGAGCGACGAACATGTGTTTGCGACGCGTTCTCGACTACAGATCCAGGAAGAAGATGCCTAGCAGGAGAGGCAGTTCAATGCCCCGCGGCATGCGGGCGCGGAAGTAGCGGCGGCAGTTTAGAGCAAGCAGTTATATTAGCACGGCTTCGAGGACGCGGTGGGCGGTTAATTGCGGCAAGTGCAGGCGGGGCGAAAAGTCGCGGCCAGCGCGGAGTGCGCCGCGGCCGGTGACGAGATTATCGCCCGAGGTACGGTGGGCAGCGTGAAGCAGAGCCCTGAAGATTGCCCCCTGGGAGACCCCTCGGAGCCAGGCTGGGGGCGATGCTCTGTCTGGTCAAGAACATCGACCAACGCGGGCCGTGCGGTAATTGCGAAGA